AAGCAACATATTTATATATATATATAATATTTAAATATTAGACATATAAAGATATAAGAATTGAGCGTTCTGTATGCAAATTTTTCTATTTTTAAAAACACATATTTCTTCAAGCGTACGTAAAAGAAATCGATGATCTATTTCACCTTCCTCTCCCTCGAGAAGAAGACTTCTGTTCCAGAGGAGAAATCCGAGGGTATCGGGGAAGCACTGAGATGGGATGCTCGTTCTCGGGGTTGAATGCTCTCTACGACGCCGTTAGTGGCGGCGGGGACGTGTGGATCAATCATAATCGGTTCAGGATACTGAAGCAGCTCGGAGAAGGTGGCTTTGCTTTTGTTTATCTTGTCAAAGAGGTCGTCAGAGACGGTGCCCCTGGAAGCGGATTGCTCACCAGGAAGAATTTGAAGAACCCTACGCATGTCTCAGGTCGGGTTGTGATCCGTGTTATCATCCCAATTTGTTATATCGAAGTGGAGCCTTTGTTCTAGATTTGAAGGGCGCTGTAGCTTTTTCCTTGTGTCTTTATAGCCTATCAGGCACATGGTTGATAACTGTTAGGGGTTGTGTCACTAAATGCTGTGGCAATTTTGTTTAACTTGATTGTTTTCTTTCAGATGATGGAACATATGCGCTGAAGAAGGTCCTAATTCAAAGTGAAGAGCAATTAGCGTTGGTAAAGGAGGAGATTCATGCTTCGTCACTCTTTGGCCATGCTAACCTACTTCCACTCCTTGATCATGCTATTATTGCCGTCAAGGTAATACTAATTTTAACTTTGTATTTTCATACAAGATTTGGGGGATAATAATTTATTGAATATTATGTGATCATTCATGTGCGTGTGTGCGCATGTATTGCGTGTTGGAGGACGCGCTCAGTGCATGGTCAGTTTTGATGTATGTAGCCGTATCCCTACATCACGGAGGAGTTATTTTCCTGATGTGTACCCATTATCCCTAGGTCATAATGGTGTCAGTCTGACTAGTGCTTCAGCCATCTACCTATATATTTATTTACTGAAATTTTGTGTGCTTTTGTCCAACTGTGCTCATAACTTGCATTCTCATACAGCAGAATGCTCTTTTTTGTCGAATTAGTTCATGGAAGTTGAGATTTCCAGTTGCATCCATAACTCTGTAGATGTGGAATGTAATTTATGCGGTTATTAGGAGTCTAAACAAGCTGTGCTTGAGCAAGCCTAATGCTTCTTTGTGTTTGATTCGTTCGAAGATTTGTTTTTGTTCAACATGGCTCATGAGTAGGATCTTCGTGTTCAGCTCGATTTGAATTTGTTTGTTATTTCAGCTTGTTTTTGCCTCAAATCTAGCTCGAATGACTTATAAAACAATAAACTTTAACATTATTTTACATACAATATAAAATTCTATATAAATATATTATAATAAATATTAATTATTTAATTGTTTAATTAATTTTAGCCAAAAAGAGTCGAACATGATTGAACAAGAAATTGTTCATGTTCGACTTGTTTATAAATTGAGCTCAAAAAGTTGTTCTTGTTTGGCTCACTTAACTAAGAAATCAAACACAAGCTACTTAGTACGCCGAATATGAGTTGTTCGCAAACGATGAGCTTTTTTGATAGCCATAGTTGTTATGTTATTTCTTAATTCTTACCTTTTGACAATTTCTACTTGCGCCTATTAATAAATTTTCATATTACTAACCATTATTTCTTATCAAGTGGAATGTTTTCGTCATTCCTTATGGTCAAGGATAATCCTTGCAGTATTGTTTCACCGTTGAGGAACATTAACAAGTATCTATTGTTTCATTTCTAAAAAAAAATGCAATGTTGAATCATTATAACTCATTTTCACCCAATTAATATGAACAATCCCAATACCTGATGGTCCGGGAGAACATGATAGCATTTATCTACTGTATCCTACCATGCTCATTATTTTTGAAGATGCTCTATCACGTCACTGCTGTGTTTAGTAAAGAAGTAATCCATCTCATTCAGTCATTTTGTTAGAATTCTCACTCAACTCTTTTTGTGGTGGAATCAAAATTTTTATTTAGGGGCCACAAGAGGGAGCATGGAACTATGAAGCGTACTTATTGTTCCCAGTGCATATGGATGGGACTTTACTTGATAATGTCAAAGCAATGCAATCAAAAAAAGAATTCTTCTCAGTACTTACTGTTCTTCAAATATTCCGTCAGGTGAATTCATATTGACAGATTTATAGTATTTTTAGATAATTTTTTATTAATCACTCATGTTCTGCATCATGCATAACTCTTTACATTGGCGCAACATTGTATGAGCTGTTCATCAGCTGTCTTTTGTAATATTGTTTATGCAAAGAACCAATAATGTATCAAAGCCTTTTGATGATTAAAATCAGGATTTCGTAGTCCTTTTTATTACTAGAAGAATTCATTATCATGGAAGATAGGATTTTTATAGGAAATGTATTTCCAGGTTTCCTTGACCTGCATAGAAATGTCATTTTTTGCCTTATGCTTTGCTTTTTCCGTTCATATAATTATTTGCTCTCACATTTTTCTTTAATTAGTTTCTTCTCAAACTTTTTCTTGTTCCTTATTTATTTATTTATTTATTTTCCAACAAATAAATAACCTTGTAGATTTTTGGGTGCCTGAAACAACTCATAATTGAATTCTTGCGGATCATGTAAATGTCTTTTATTTTTATTGTTTAAATTGTTTATTTCTAAGAATCTTTCTTCACTTCTTGATTTTGAAAATTAGTGTAAAGGTTTTATAAATTTAGAAGTTGAACAATTATTAAATATTCTACTATTATTCTGTAATGTATTCTTTTAATTTAGAATTTTATTTTTTTATTATTTTTTTCATATTCTACTTCTTCCAATATGTCTATATGTAAGAACCAATATTATGGTTGAATATATCAAGTTATTTTAAATATTTCAACCATAACATGGTATCATAGTCCGACTAAGGCCTAGTTGATGATCTCTTGATCCCTCCAATCTCATGCTTGCCACTACTTATACGCGCTCGCCGACCTCTTGGGTACCATGCTCTATCTCTTTTTGGCTTTCTTGTGTGTCGTGCTCGCTTATATGTTGTGTTCTCTTGCTTCGACCAGGTGCTTTCATTGGTTTCTTATGCCCAACAACCTTTTTTCTCATTGCATTTACTCTTTCTTGCTCATGCACTCACTAAATAATATCATATAGCAATTACTCATTGACAGCCTCACCCAAAGGTGAACTTTCATTCTATGATAAATTAATTCAGTGTTGACCTCTTTTTTACTTTGTTTTGTTCGTTGATAGCCTTCTCTGCTCCTCTCCAAAAAAAAACCCTCCTCAAATTGTGTGGTATTATCAAACCCAATGCCAACTCATCTTGTGGCCTTTGGAATTTCATTTTCTCATTGGATTTAATTTAAATTTTGACTCTCCAACTTGTAATTGATAATAGAACGGTATTTAAGAAGTTTAACTAAATTTGGACTCTCAGTGATATTGGGCTTTAACCAAGCACCAATGAAAAATAAGTGTTATTGCTGGCTTCAAATGGGAAATTACAACAAACACAACGAAAAACTGAAATTATAACAAAACACGACACTAGACTTGGGTGGACCCCGAATGGAGGGGTGTTGGCTTGCTGGGGTTGGAAGGTGGCGGTAATAAGAGTGGTGGGGGATCAAACAATAAGTATGTTGTTTTGGCTAGTGACAATGAGTATGGAGGGCAGCAAGTGAAAGGAACAGCTGTTGGGCAACTGTGCAGGGGCGGTACCAAGATTGGAGTGGTGGGGCTGTGTTGTCGGGGAGTAATTAAGGAAGAATGGGGAAGGGTAGAGGAAGGATAAACACCACATCAGGACTGAGATATAGCCGGAGTACCACTTAAACCCTTGGATACAATCCTAGAAGGGAAAAGGGAGACGTCGATGGCAGTCCCAAAACAAACTTATCAAAAACCTAACCTTAGACACCAACGAAAGCAAATAAATAGACCTAGGATAATTAAGTGTGGCCCCACTCCATTGGTCGGCACTCTCAAGATACCAAGAGGATCAGCCCGCCCTCAAACAGTCTAGATTGGTTTGGTCCAGTTTGCTTTATGGATGCCTTCATAAGCTCGGTTCTGGACCATGGACAACACCAAATTTGCTGAATGACAAGCCTTTAACTATACGTTTCTCACGTGTATACTCAATAGTTGATTCTACAATCATGTTTTAGGAGATTTCCAAAGTTATATTGAACCCTTATACATTCCATATAGGGTATGCACTCTACTATGAAATCTTTTTAGGCCGACAAATTTATTCAAGTTACTATAGAATTTAAAAGGCAAGTGGAATGAACTTTTTAAATATTGCCCTTTATCGTCGACTACGTCACCAAAATAAATCAATAATTTCTAATTGTCAAATATCTCTTCAATCTACAACCATCCTACTAGTTTGCTCAAACTCAATTTTTGGGTAACTTTTCTATTCCGAATGTCTCCGTAATATTCTCTTGTCTTGTCCTTATCATAAAATCTTGTTGCTGACACAAAAGATGGTCAGGTTAATTATGATCGTAGTGGTTACAATGATGTTGTCTCAGAAAAAAAAAAATTTTTCCTTCTGCTGCTTAGTTTTGCACCACCACTACTTATGATTCTATTGGTACTCTGTCTTTAATTGTCTCAATCTCAAGAAGAATATCATCATCTACTATAGTACTCTTAGTTGATTTTCATTGCTTCTCATATATTTTTCACTTCTGGTTCTATTGCAGCTACTCACTGATATATCTTGGGTCTTTGATTATGGAGCTTCTTCCAAAATGTTAGGTAATCTATACTTATTTTTCCCTTTTACCATGCATGCTCTTCCTCCCATCATCCTTGCTAATATATTTCCTTTTTTTGTTTCCGATAAAGATCGTTTGTCTCTTTTCTCATAAACTTTAGACAATGTCTTATATTCCCTCCGCTTCTATAAAGTTATTATTTATAAATTGTTATGTCAAATTTCACAATTGCTTGATAAAATTCTCCTTTTTGTGCATTTTTCAATACCTTGATGTGAAAAAGATGATTGGTGATAGTGTTGTGGTTGGAGGCCTGTACCACCTCTTTGATGTTAAGTCCCTTGCTCTTTCTTCAATTATTATTCCTTAACAGCAATATTCTTTTCTTGGTCACCTTCACAAACTTCGGAGCTTCAGTCATAGTTTCTTTTTTTTGTTTCTAAGTTTAAAATTGAAGCTGAAGGGCCTTTTTTTTTTGTAAACATTTTCACATTTTTATATTTTTTTTGACTGACATGTTCCAATATATATATGCGGCCCAAATCCAATGTCTACTAAGCAAAGTTTTATTTTTTTTTTTTCAACTTGTTTTTCATTCAATGATTCAACAAGGTTACTTTGGTATTCTTGTTGAATTGTCCGCACAAAAAAATGTTGTATTCAGATAATTTTATCAAGAAATAAAAATTGTATCTTTCACTTCCCTTAAAATTCCTCATTTTCATAATGCCTTTGAATATATGTAATTTACTTTTGCTTTCATGCTGAAAATGATAATATACACCTATTATCCTGACCTTTTATTTCTCAACAAAATATTTTGGTTGAGCATTAGCGTCGACATCTCTTTGATTTTGCCTGCCTCACTATTTACATGAATGCTCCAATACAATTTGAAGGAGACTCCGTTTTTAAGATCTTGCATTTTAATCACTATTTGTATTTGTTGCTTTAAGAGGGGTTACTGCCTATTCTTTTCTCTATAGGCAATTTTTTCGTGGAAATTTTTTTTTAATAATTGTGTCATCTCCCATTTTTGCTATGGGCATGATAAACTATCTCATCTTTCCATCATTGTATTTTCTCTTTTATTTTTGTACTGAAAAGTGATATTATTATTGTGATCCATTTACTCATCATTATCCAATGATTCCACTCCCGTCTCAAATACCACTAAATTTTTCCCCAAGTATTCCACCTACTTCTCTTGCTCCGATGCCTGCCCATTCATTATAGGTTTATACTCATTGGCCTCACTTGCCTCCTTTTGATGCATCTACTTTCTTCGTATCTACTATAGTTGAGCATCCATCTACCCTTGCAACCTTAGATCTCTATCTCCTAATTGCTCTCTAGAACGTACATGACACTTCAGTAATCACTCGATACACATTTCATATTTTGAATATGTTCCTCTTCTTTTCGTTCTTTTCCTTATCTCTTGTCTTTTTTATTTTAAGGGCTTATAAAGGAGCATTTCTTCATCTTAATTAGGATCTTGCAATGTATACTGAAATATTGGCTCTCCTTGATTGTCGTATTGGGATATGGTTTCCTTCTTGATAGTGTAAAGCTTACTTCATGATGGGTTATGATTAAGTTCCATCCTGATAATATTATTGATCAACACAAAGTTTGATTGGTGGCTAAAGGGTACCGTGTAGATTCATGACATATTTTGAGACTTTCTCCCCAATTGCTCAACTGAACATTGTTCGCCTCATTTTTTTTAATGACCGTCAATTTATATTGAATTATTGTTGCAAATGGATGCCAACAATGTTTTTCTGTATGCAGAAATAGTAGAAGTGTCAAATGGAATGGTTTAGCATTCAAACCATTAGCTCAAACCTTTAGAAGTCCTAATGGAATGGCTTTAGTGTGATTGGGCTTAAGTAGGCCAACCCTAATAAGTTCATGGATGGCCCATTCATTTGTTTATCATTAAGATTCACGATAATAGGCTTTGTATATATATAGTAAGTTGGAATATTATCACATTAATTATAGCTTAATCTTTTCTAATTAAGAAAAAAACAAATAATTATTTCTTATGCTTATGGCTGCACAAATTATTCTTTTTAAACTAAAAAAAATCTATAATATTCAAATAACTAACAAGTTAAATAACCTATAAATTCAATCATGATTTACTTGGAGAGAAGCTCAAAGGAACTTGCCAAAGAAGAAAGCAAACGATTGGGAATATGTTTTTTTTGTGCTAATGGAGCTTGGTAATAAATTAAACTAATAACTTACTCTCATGATGATATTAGGGGAATAGTTGATGATTAAATTAATTGGTTTGAATTAAATTTTAGGTAAGCCCTTGTAAACTCAAGATCAAACTAAAATGAATTTTTTGAGCTTATTACTCATGTTTGAATCTCAGCTTGAATGGGTAAATCTTTAT